CTCCATCCTTCCACCCCTCCCTCTCTGCATCCTTGACCTCTCCATCCCTGTATCCCTCTCTCTTTCCATCCCGTCCCGTCTCATCCCTTTATCCTGCATCCCTCCCTCCCTGCATCCTTCCACTTCTCCATCCCTGTATCCCCGCGTCCCATCCCATCCCTTTATCCTGCCTCCCTCCGCCCTGCATCCCTGCATGCCGCTGGCGGATGCTCCCTGGGTACCACCGGGTGCTCCTGGGTACCCCTGGCTGCGCAGGGGACCCCGGTGGCCCCTTGGTGGCCCCTTGGTGGCCCTGGTGGCCTCGGTGGCCCCGGGCTGAGGCGGGCGCTTCCCCCCCAGAAGAGGTGATCCTGGCGGAGGACGATGCGGAGGCCGAGCCTCGACTGCCCTTCGATGGTGAGTGCCCAACGCCGGGGAGGCGCCGCGGGGCCGGTGCCGCCCGCGCCCGCTGGCCACGGCGGGCGGTAGGGCCCCAAACGGGGGTGATAGCCCAAATCTAGGGGGTCCATAGCCCAAATGGGGGGTTMCATAGCCCAAATCTGGGGGTGTTAGCCCAAATCAGGGGGTTTCATAGCCCAAATGGAGGGTTATAGCCCAAATGGGGGGCTTTCATAGCCCAAATCAGGGTTTTATAGCCCAAACGAGGAGTTTGATAGCCCAAGCCAAGAGGGTGTGTGGCTCTGAGCTGGGGGGTTGGTAGCCACATGTGGGGGTTGGTGGCCCCAAGCTGTGCTCGGTAGCCATATCCAGGGGGGCGGTGGCCGCAGGCTGGGGGTGGTAGCCACATGTGGGGGTTGGTAGCCACATGTAGGGGTTGGTGGCCCCAAGCTGTGCTCGGTAGCTGTATCCAGGGGGGCGGTGGCCGCAGGCTGGGGGTGGTAGCCACATGTGGGGGTGGTAGCCACATGTGGGGGGTGGTAGCCACATGTGGGGGTTGGTGGCCCCAAGCTGTGCTCGGTAGCCGTATCCAGGGGGGCGGTGGCCGCAGGCTGGGGGTGGTAGCCACATGTGGGGGCCGGTGGCCGCGCCGGGTGACGCCCGTCTCGCTTGCCGCGCGTGGCCGCCGTGGGAGCCCTGCGCCGGGCCACCCTGCAGCGCAGCCACACGGACCTGCTGCGGCCCGAGGGCGCCGAGGAGCCGCTGGCCGACATCGCCGCCCTGGGTACGGCCCCCGCGGCCACCGTGTCCCCCCCGCGGTCACCATGTCCCCCATTGTCACCGTGTCCTCCCCGCGGCCACCGCAGCCCCCCCGTGGCCACCACGGCCCCCCCATTGTCACCACGACCGCTGCGCTGTCACCACAGCCCCCGTGCCATCCCCGCGGCCCCCGCGCCGTCATCGCGGCCCTCCCGTCACCATGTCCCCAGGCTGTCATCACGTCCCCTGGGCTGTCACCGTGTCCCTGCACYGTCACCGTGTCCCCCGGATGGTCACAGCATCTCCCGCGCTGTCACCACGTCCCCCGCGCTGGCACTGCAGCCCGTGCGCCTTCGCTGTGGCCCCCGCGGCGCCGTCACTGTGTCCCT